GCGTACTACATGATGGGTTGGTAGGGTGTACAAAAATTTACATGTAATGGTAGGGTTTGGGTGTGCTACATACATGATAATATGGTAGTGTGTGCTACATGATGGTAGGTAGTGTGCTACAATACATAAGATTGTATGGTACGGTGTGCTACATGATGGTATGGTAGGGCGTGATACATATATGATGTTATAGCAGTGTGTGCTACATACTTGATGGTATGTTAGGGCGTGCTACATACATGATGGTTGGTAGGGCGTTGCTACATACATGTGATGTTATGGTAGGGCGTGCTACATACATGTGATGGTATGGTAGGGCTTTGCTACATACATGTAAATGGTATGGTAGGGCGTGTTTCATACATGATGGTATGGTAGGCATGCTACATACATGTGATAGTATGGTAGGGCGTGCCACAGAGATGATTATAGCAGTGTATGTTACATACTTGATGGTATGGTAGGGCATGCTACATACATGATGGTATGGTAGGGAGTGCTACATACTTGATGGTAGGTGGGGCGTGCTACAACTTGATGGTATGGTGGGGCGTGCTACATACATGAGGGTTTATGGTTAGGGCGTGCTGTGGTCATGTGTAATGCATCACATTGTGTGCAACAAACACATATGCTAGTGTGTAATGCAACACACTGTGTGCTATAGCAAAATACACTAGGATGGCTTCCTCCTCTCACGACTCAATAGGAACAATGTTTCGTCAGATAATTTATCCTAGTGCGTCACATCTTCACTATTATTATATGCAGTCATCGTTTTGCTCGTTAAAAACACTTTACCACGTACATTAGATATTCAGGGCCTGTGCAACGTTGGATACGTGACACTCCCCTTACCTTACTAGGACACCCCCAGGACACGCCACATGCATGGTAAATTACCAGGGCGCATGACACGCTCTTGCTGCAACTCTTCTCTTGATGCCAGAAAGGCCCTCTTGATTCAAGGAAATGTACCTGTCCTCCTCTTGGATCAGATTTGATTGCCTCCTTTCCCTCAGGTTCTGAATGACCTCGGAGGTTTTAACATTTCCATGAAGTAAATAGTCATCTTGCTTCTTCCCTTAACCTCCGAGAAACCTCTACTAAGATAGAGGGTTATTAATTTCTTTATTTCGTCGAGGGAACAGTAAACCCACAGGGGTCATACAGCGCCTTGGGGGTTGAGAAGGATTCAGAAAACGATCCCAAAAAAAATGAGGGGTAGCTCCATTGTTTGGATCAAGAGCCCATCATTGGCGTGTAGTTGCCTAGTGTTATTTAGATTGTGCATCGCCTTTATCTTCGGTGAAGAACACTTCAGTCCCTAATACAGAGGCTTTAAAGTAAACTCAGTGTGTGTGTGTAATATATATATATATATATATATATATATAATATATATATATATATATATATATATATATATATAATATCCATTTTACCAAACTGCGGCAGGCCGGGTTCGACCACGAACGTTGTTCGCCTCAAGGGTCACACAAAATACATGTCACCTTTTCCATTTGAGCCATCGATCCTACAAAACTATGAGCCTAACGAACTGGGCTTGTTTTTTGTTGCGGGACACTCGTGGGAGAGGGATGCTCAAGGATTAATTTCAGCCTCCTCCTGTTTGAATACCCGCCTCCACAAGCAGTCTATATAACAGTGAAACCACGAAACAAGTGGTTTTGGGAAACGCAGTTTGGAGGCTGAAATTTTAAAGCTTGGCATACATCTGCCACGAGTGTCCTCGCAACATGAAACAAATCTAGTTCGCTAGGCTCTTGTCTGTAGGTTCGATGGCTCAGATGGTAAGGTGAATGTACGATGTGTGGCCTCTTGAGGGGGGGACAAATTATCGTGGGGTTTGAATCCTGGTTTGCCGCGGTTTGGTATATGATTCAAAACCCTTGTTGCTGATTTCATTTATATAAAATTTTATATATATATATTTAATTATATATATATATATATATTTATATATATATATATATATATTATATATACCCTTCCCGGTTTATATAGCAACTATCAGTGCATACACATCAAGACAGATATGCTAAACATAGGCTTGCTCTGCACATGTCTTCTTTCCATACATGCAACGCTTGTTTTAGCAGTGTCGAGTGTTAGTTTTACGTATATCAACCAAATGTAAACATTGTTTTCAGCTAGTGTTTGGCTGTACTTAGAGATTGTTTATTTTTCCCCGTGGTCTCCACCCAACTTCCATGATTTCCTTACACCTCGTTAGGGTGGGTGGGAGTTAAGCCCGCCTAGCAAGGTGCTATTAGGCCTACTGCAGTTATTCATTTTTATGTTGTCAACTCTTCTTTGTCATTTACTTAAACACTGCATAGTACGACGGCAAATATTGACGCGTGTCAGCATTTATCCTTCACTAAATTTTTTAATTTTTTTTTCCACACGAGATGCTTGGACGGCACTTTCTACATTACTAGCTCGAATTTACTTATTTAAATAGGTATAAGGATTTTTTCTTTATTGAAGCTTTTGCACCTGTCTTTAGTGATCATGTAATTACATATATTTAGTTTGTGTGTGTGCGTGGTGCGTATCCTTACCTAGTTATACCCACTTGCCTCCAGTCCCCGCCTCTCGTTTACCCGCCCTCTTTAGAACATAATAAGTAATAATAATCTTTATTTATACAACTACATGTACAACATATACAGACCTAGCTGACATCAGTGACATACTATATAGAAAGCCCCTTGTTATGCAAAGCATTTTGTGCAAATTAGGTCAGTTTTTTCTCCAGGATGCAACCCACACCAGTCGGCTAACACCCAGGTACATATTTACTGCTAGGTGAACAGGGACATCAGGTGTTCACCCGTACCGGGGATCGAACGACAGACCTCAGTGTGTGAGCTGAGTGCACTGCCAACCTAGCTACGGAACACCTAGACGGTCACACCATTACAATCCTTATGCACCCTTTTACACCTCTCATCATTGTATATAGAATCTGCTTTAACCACTTCCTTGTCCATATTCTTCCACTTTCAAGCCAGCCTCAGGCTGAAATACTTTTTTGCATCCCTGTGACTCATATGCGTCATTAGATTTCAGGTATGCCATTGAATCCCAGTTCCCTTCTCTTTCAAACTTGTCTATTTTATCGAATCCTCTGAGAATTTTGTACGTCTTGATCATGTTTCACTATTTGTGTGTTTGTGTTGGAGTGAGAACAAGGTAGCAGCGAGAGTATATCAGGAGCCACACGACCCGCCACAGCTTAACTTCTGAGTGATGAATGAATTTTATTTTTCCCGAGATTTTAGGGAGTTCCCCTACTCCTTTGCATAATGCTGATCCACATCTGAACGCCTCCTGCCTACCTCCTTGGTCTGGCTTGCGCCTTTGCCCACCTCCAACTGATCCCATGGCCTGGCCTCATCTTGCGCTCCTCTGACCCGACTGCTAATGCCCACCTCCGATCAATCCTGTGATCAGGCTCACTCCTGCTCGCCTCTGATCTACCTCGTGATCCGGCACGATCATCCAACCCACCCCAGATTCCTGACTGGCTCATGTATACCTCTGATTCATTTATCTACCTAATATTATTCTGCCCACGTTCCTCTTGATTTCTGGAGGTTGAAAAAGTTCTGTTTTATGATCAATGATGAGAGGTCCATGTAGCAATAGTTAATATTCCATAATGGAACGTGGCAATTCCAAATCAAGGGAGCACTCCACGTGAGTATTCTGTGATGTCCTACGTTTTCTATAAATTCAGTTAAAAATAAAACATTTAATTAAGCTAGAGTTAGAGTACTCATGACATCTAGTTTACATAATTTGTTACAGTCACCAAAGTGTGAAATATCAGTTTGCATTATTTAGTTTGGTTGTGTGAAGTACGGAAAGTATAGCTGTAACATTTACCGTTGTATCCATATATGAAATAAGTATGCAGCCAGTCATTAGTCACAGTGGATATGTAATAAATTCCGGGCTGGAGATAACAGGTTCGACGCAACCTATACTGTCGTAAGTTGTAGCGACTGGCTGACGCGGCGGGAATAATAATGTTACATACGAGAAACTGCACGTTTTATTGTTGACAGTCTATGACTGTATTTACAGTATTAAAAGTTGAGTAAACAAGGCATCATTCACAAACTGTTTGTTAATTTGTAATTATCAATGATAATTGATTATTTCTGGAGCAGGGGGCATAATATTGTTTCACGAGTGAGAGGCAACAGTAGAGAAGGGTAAAGGTCGAGCGTGGGTGTGTTAAGGGGGTGTAGGGGTACAGATGTCATGGAGTTCTGCAAGGTGCTCATCTGATGCCCTTCACTTTTACTTTCTCCTCCTGTCCTTCCTTACATCCCCACGTTGACTTCTTGAATCATCCACTTCTTCGGTCATGGTCGCTTGTTTGGGTCATTACCATGTTAATTAAAAGTCATGCCTTGTGGAACATTTGCACATTTACTTGGTTAGGTCCCAATCGCGCCTTCATTAACTGAGACTGAATCAGTTACGTATTGCCGGCGGTGTATATGAAAGCCATCAACACGCCAACATAGTTGTCACTGTTTATTCGTATGGTATTTTATCGCCAATAGGCTTTGGACGCTTATAATAAAAAGGGATCCATAACAACAATGCAGGACATTTGTAATCAACATTTTTGGCTGTCATGTGGAAAGTATTTTTATGACGGACAATCCTGGCATTAGGACTCTAACGTGATCTTGCCGACTGGTGGGCCTGGACATAACATTGCCTCCGTTGAAGTCGCTGGCATGTTTCATCGTAGCCTCCACCATCCTTTTCCATTCATTCTGTACCAGTCTGTAAACTACTCTATGTGTAAATGTGTGAGTTACAGAGTTCTGGTGGGCGTGGGGCGCAGCTTGTGTTGTGGAGCGTAATGAGGACACACTGAGGAGAAACTCTACTCAGGGAGGCCCGACGCAGCTTCTCGGAGAACATTGTTGGGCTCAGTTGGCGACCTCCCGGCGGCAGGTGTGGATGGGGTGTGCTCCATCCCGTCCAACCCACACACGGTTACCCCCACCGGACGCCCCTTTAACCTCTCACCACAATCATCATGTTGCATGGTGCTAATAGAATATTCACTTGTTTTATATACTAATACGCTACTCGCACTCTATCTTCGTTGTCGGATATTGCATTATGGAAGAGGATTGTGAATAGGAAACAGTGAGTAGGCGGGTCTGAGCTATATCTGGGGTGTGTCGTCAGCGTGGCACCGCCCCTCAGTGGTGGCACGGTAGCGCCACTAGGCGCAGGCACCCCGCACTGGGTATAATTAGTGGTGAGACACAAGCCGTGAGGAAAGGAAGGAAAGGCAGGAAGGCATTAGTGATTCTCTGTGGTGATCTAACAAGTGCTGCCTTAACAGCCATGGAGACGTGCCTGGCGGGGCGCTAACGAAGCCAGTGATCACATCAATAGTGCCAGGTGTGCTGAACCTGAGAACCTCAACATGTCGGACACAGGGGGAGGTTCGGCCACCTCGCCCACGCCCGGGATGTCGGACAGCGAAGGCGCGGGCGGAGGCGGGCGCACCAACTCAGCCTCGGGATTGTCACGCACCTCAGGAACGAGTAGGACCTCCCTGGTGCCCCCAGCACCCACTACCACCATCAGCACTATTGCTGTGCAGTCCGGCACCACCAGGATCGTCATCGCCCTGCTACAGGTAGGCTGGAGGGAATATACAGTATGAATTCAGAAATATATATTTTTTTGCAGTCTTAATGACCTATGAACAGTCAGTAGACTTGAAAACTAACATTAACTGGAAGATAGCAATCATCACACTGGATAAGCTTGGACTTCCTACTCCTTGTTCTCACACATTAATGCTTCTAGTTCTCTTTTTACTTTAGCGTTTACTGATTAATTTCATTAATGAAAAAACATTTAACTGTTGGGGGTCATACAACACTAAAATTTTGATTAACGAAGAAATTTCCTTCCCCTTTTAACTAAAGAAAATACTTTATTCGTTGTTCGGGGACTAATGTTTGGGAGCCAGTCGTCTCACACAATCCATAGAATCCGCCCCCAGTCGAGGAAAGGTGATCCAGTTTGATGCGGGATATCCTTAGTGTTAGTGTTTACATTTCTCTGTTGAATTAATATCTTCAGTATCCGTAGTAATAAAAGTAGGGTTATAGCATTGTGAGTTTGAATAAATACTAATTTTACATAGCAACAGATGCTTCTAGTATTCTCTGGTACCATTTTGTCCAAGATGAGGTGTTCCTTAGCCGGCCGGCTCATGACAGTGGTGTCTTCGTCAGGAATAAAATGTCTGCTAACATGCGTCTTTTCCTTATAATGATGTGGCTAATAAACCACTGGCGTACCAATGCTAGGAATCAAAGGTGTATACTGTTGTGACACCTGACGTCAAGGGAGCCCTTTGGCTACCAAAAGGCCCAGGAGCGTCACATAAGTCGCCACCACTCCAAATAAGTTTCATCTGTTTTGTAAAATATCATTAAAAGAAGTCAGCAAGCTTGGAAATTATTATCATTTTCTTGGAACAAGTTGTTGGACTGACAGACTAGAAAGCAGACCAGGTGACCTGATGTGTTCACGGTGGAGATGAGGTAACAGCCTTGAGTCCATGATAATAATAGCCTACCTCCCGCTCCTCCCCCACCCACCAAACACTTATCACTGGATCGGATTATAGCTTTTTTAAGTTTGACGTTAAGCATCAGCGACTCTTGATGTAGTTTTTCCTGTTATATTATAACCGCGTTTTTTTAAATTACGTGATTGCTTGTAAGCCTGTTTGTCTTTAATCTTCGGAAATTTCCTTGAGTTATATTGCCGGAGTGGAACAAGGCTTTTTTCGTTTCTGTTTTCTTTCATCGAACACATAAACTTACGTTTAGTTGACAGCACCATTAGTTACTGTAGATCAGCTTTTTTGTTTAAGCATGTTGAAGTGGGGTGTTTTTGAGTAGGACGGTGTAGAAAGGTGTATCATTAAAGGCTGTCTCCGTTAAACGGACCCTATCCACAACACTATGCTCTCCCACGTCTCAAACCTGCTATTAAAGTGTCACCTCTTGTTCCTCGCATAATTCTTCTGTCTGGTTTGTGCTCCAGCAATTATTTTATCTTCATCGCTGTAACTTCTTACAAACTTGGAGGTAATTTAAGTCTGTGTAACATGTTTCATTCACGGTATCACTTTCTACTCCATATCTCTCTCCTTAATAAATGATACTGAGCTGGAGGCAACTCAGATGAAAAGCCACACACACATGAGCTGCTGGATTTCTGCAATAAACACACCCTAAGTCAGCAGATAGTGGAGCCAACAAGACTGGAGAACACACTATACCTTATTTTCACACATAATGAGGACCTGGTAAGAAACACAACAATATAAAAAACAACTAATTCTGATTACAATCTAAACGAAGTCCAGACTTACATGCACAGGAGTCCTGATCAGCAAAATGTATACAACTATGAGGGTACCTTTACCAAATTCAATGTAAACAACAGGAACATCAACTGGGACCAGGTAAACTATGTCCTAAATGAAACATGTTGGGAAGATATCTTAAATTACATAGACCCTAACCAGTGCCTTGAAAGGATCAACTTTCTGGTAGCAGAGGTATGTTCAAGGCATATTCCCCCAAGAAAAAAGAAGAGAAGTAAACTGGAAAGAGAGAGACGCTCCCTTTACAGAAGAAGGCGGAGAATCACTGAACTCAAGAATGCCAGATTATCTGAAACACGGAAGGAAGCGCTAACCAGGGAAGTAAAAAATATTGAGCTTAAGTTAAAGGACTCATACAGCATCCAGGAGAGACAAGAGGAGCTAAAAGCGATTAGTGAAATTGAAAGAAATTCGAAATATTTCTTTTCACATGTCAAAAACAAGGCAAGAACTACTATTAGTATAGGGTCCCTGCTCAGGCAAGACGGATCCTACACAGATAACAAGAAAGAAATGAGCGAGATACTGAAATCTCAATATGACTGTGTTCAGCGAGCCACTAATCAGTCTAAAGATAGACAATCCGAACAATTTTTTCATGGATGAGCCTCAAAACCCTGCCAATGTTTGCCAAATTTCTGACATAATCCTAACTCCACTAGACTTTGAGAAAGCCATCGACAACATGCCCATGCACTCAGCCCCAGACCCAGACTCGTGGAACTCTGTGCTCATTAAGAACTACAAGAAACCCCTCTCACGGGCCCTAAGAATGTTATGGAGAAGGAGCATAGACACAGGTGAGATTCCACAGTCACTAAAAACAACGGGTATAACCCTACTCCATAAAGGCGGCAGCAAAGCAATAGCTAAGAACTATAGACCAATAGCTTTAACATCCTACATCATAAAAATCTTTGAAAGAGTTTTAAGAAGCAGGATTGCAAACCACTTAGACTCCCAAAAATTGCACAATCCAGGGCAACATGGGTTCAGAACAGGTCGCTCCTGCCTCTTGCAACTACTGGACCACTATGATATGGTCTTGGATGCACTGAAAAACAGAATGCAGATGTAGCATACATAGACTTAGCAAAAGCCTTTGACAAGTGCGATCATGGTGTAATAGCACACAAAATGCGTGATAAAGGGATTATTGGCAAAGTAGGCAGATGGATCTTCAACTTTTTAACCAATCGAACACAAAGAGTAGTGGTAAACAGAGTTAAATCGGAAGCTGCCATAGTGAAGAGCTCTGTTGCACAAGGCACAGTACTCGCCCCTATTCTGTTCCTCATCCTCATATCAGACATAGAGATGTAAACTATAGCACCGTATCATCCTTTGCAGACGATGCTAGGATCAACATGCGAGTGTCATCTATTGAGGACACGGCAAATCTCCAAGACGATATAAACCAAGTTTTCCAATGGGCAACGGAGAACAATATGATATTCAATGAAGATAAATTCCAACTACTCCGTTATGGAAAACTGGAGGAAATAATAACTAGAACTGAGTATACTATAAACACTTATCACACAATAGAGCGGAAAAGTAATGTGAAGGACCTGGGAGTGGTAATGTCCGAAGATCTCACCTTTAAGGATCACTGGAGGGACTGGTCCCTAATCTGCACATATAAATCACTCCCTACAACAGCAAAAGACTTGGCAGGCGATGCAACATATCCCCAGTGAAAAGTAGGGGCGCCATTGGTACACTTAGAGAAAACATAAGAGGTGTCCAGGGCCCAAGACTGTTTAACAGCCTCTCACCAGCCATAAGGGTAATTATCAATAGACCTTTGGTTGTCTTCAAAAGGGAGCTGAACAGACACCTAAGTTAGTGCCGGATCAGCCGGACTGTGGTTCGTACGTTGGACTACGTGTGGCCAGCAGTAACAGACTCTTGATCAGGCCCTGATCCACCAGAAGACCTGGTCATGGACAGGGGGGACGTTGATCCCGGGAATGCCCTCCGGGTAGATACTACACAGAGAGAGAGGAGAGAGAGGTAAGTAAGCTTATACCTTCCACCCTCTGATCTAGGAAATCAGTTAGCCTTGTTAACCTTTTATCTAAGCATCTCAGCAAAAATGTATATTGAAAGTTGAATTTACTCCCTATTTTTGAGTTTTCTTGACTGGTATCGATAGACTTTGAACCCAGTTAATTATCCATCCAAATTATTTAAGAGATGTTTCCTGTTTTATAAATTAATGCCTATAATTTAAGAGAATTATATAATAAGCATGAGTTTTTTTTAATATCATCGGCCGTATACACTTAATAGGGCATATTATACAATATATCATAGGTATAAACGGCTCACGAGATGGGGGATGGGAGGGGACAGCTATAACACGTGACATTAACAGTTATGTCGTTCTCTCTCCTTTGGAATCATGGAAATAAATCAGCGCTGTATGACCCTAATAGGTTTAGCGCTTTGTTTTGATTATAATAATAATAATAATGGAAATAAATAATTTCTCGTAATAATACCGCGATGTACAGTATACATAGAGTCAGTCTATATACAGAAGTTAGCCTAGGAAATGTAATTGACAGTAAGGATCGTAAGCAAACTTGTGTTATGCGTTTTCCACGGTCAGATATAAGCACCTCAGGAAAACCAGACTCTCATTAAGGAATGTTACAATACTTCCACACACAGCAGCTTGTACAAGATAGTGAAGTGTCTTCTTTCATTTTGTTGCTTAGAAGTACTCTTCAGGCATATACTGTTGTGTCTGCACACAGCTGTAGGATGGGTTACAAGACATTCACACCACAACAACATCCCTTGTACAATTAATATACAGGAGGACCCTGCTTTCACAGCAGGTTAGGTTCTGAGCTACTGCTGTAAAGCGAAAATAGCTGTAAAGTGAAACATAACCTTTTTTTTTACTTTCACATGAATATAAAAGCCTGATAACATATTAACGCTATCATATATTAAATGAGCAGTAGAACCAGGTCTAAAAAATACATATACAGTACACACTTTACTTAAAATATTTTCCTCCTTAGCATATAGTGAGTGGTGAATATATTCATTGTAGGAAGTCAGAATACTGAAAAATCGGTATAATTGAAAACCGCTGCATTAGCGAAACGCTATAAAGCACTTTGCTTTACAGCGCTTTGCTGTATGCAGTACAGTCCACATTCCATTATATATTATAGTAATAATGTTGTATAATCTTTATAATTATACTT